ATATATATATTTATGAGTATGAGTCACTTAAGAAATGTCACGCTTTAGATTCTCTTTTTTTTCTTCGAAAAATGATATTTTATGAAAAACTTCAAAGGAGCATTGACGGGTAATGCAATATCATGTTGGTGAAACTAGGTCTATTCATCCGGCAAATAATAAGAAACACTTCAGTTTTACAAACCACGGACAACTATTTCGGATTAAAGTGCCAAATTTATAAATCAGTGTAAATTTTAGAATCCCAGTTTGTGATTGTCACTCTAAGATCAAACACATTTTGATCATATGGATTTCTACTCCGTTTAGCTATAAGGTGAAGCTAATCCCATACTTTTAAAAACAAAGTTCGAGAAGTTTTCAAAATGTACATAAAGAGGGGCGGTAACAGGAGGGATAGTGGGTAACAGGAGGGAACATAAAAGATTGTTATCAGGTTGTAACAGCAAATCTCTCCAAGAATGAGACACTTGTGTACATACATTGTTAGTGATATCGTCTAGAGGAATAACTGATGAATGGATGGGAATGTTAAAGGCATGTAACATATTCTGTCGAGACGTTATTTACCGGGTGTAATTGCCAGTTGAAAAAAACGAAGGCATCAAACAGTAAGTGGGCATCGGAAAGAAAATATATCGCGAGACAACATTAAATAGGATGGTTTGGACACGTAATGAGAATGGGGCCATAACAGCCAGCTTCAAAAGTCTACAACATGCGATTCGATGGCTTCAGGAGAAAAGGGAGGCTAATTTGGATCAATGGAGTCAAAGATATCCTTCAAAGGCACAATATAATGCTGATCCGGAAAGCAACACACCTGGCTCATGTCCGAGAACTGCATCTCTCCTCGACACCTCGCAGTATAAGAGTTCTGATAAAGTAACAGTAAAGTTACTGGGTATAATGTAGACAGTTGATTTTGCCAATCCGAACGTGGATGCTTTGTATTTCCTCTTTCATTTTACTACTACTAATAATAATAATAATAAATAGCATTTATACTGCGCATTTCCATTTTCTAAAAGATGCTCAATGCGCATTACAACGAAAAAAACATCACATTCTTAAAAATTAATCGACAAGTGCGTATATAAAACAACGTATTATACGTATAATATAAATGCATATGTGTAAAATTTTATATGAGAAAAATAGTCTCGCAGTGAGGTTGAAAATGTGTTCGCTAAAAAAAAATTAAAATTTAAAATACAATGCAATAAAAATTCACGAACGGTCACAATAAAGTTGAAACGTGAGTAACTAGAAAAATTCATTAAAACATTAATTCTATT